GAGACAAAAATTCAGATGTGGTGACTGCTGGTTAATTAAGCTTTTTTGAAGTGGTAAAAAAAGGCTCTTTTAAAAATATATATATATTTATTTAAAATACATCAAAATGACAAACAGCCATATCCCACAAGGCCTAATTTCACAGCAACGTATGCTACAGACATCTTCCCGAAATGCACTGTGGTGGTAGATGGTGGGTTATCCTGCCATTTAGAGGAATGTTCTACATCTGAGCTTTAGTACTGGAAATGTGTTACAAAGAGCTCATCTTTGGAACCAATTTGCATGTGAGGCCAGCTGGTTAAGTTGCTTTGCCTATTCAGACATGAGAATACTGAAAATGGCAGGACGCAGAGGGACACAGGAAGCACCGTTCAGCTGACACTCCAGACCAGTCCCACTGCAGAGCCAGGACAGGCTTGCCAGAAGCCCCTGGTCTAATCCTTGGGAAGAGTTTTGCTTTAGAACAAGTAAGTGCCCACACTTGGCAGGCCTCCTGCATGTGTACATTAAAAGTCTGCAGTATCAAGAGGACCCAGATGGTGACACTGTTCAACATGAGATCTGAGGTAACTGGTTCTTAAAATACCTGGAACACAGAAGTGCATCCAGAAATGTGAGCTGGAGAAAAGGGGGAAAGGGAAGGGGCTGGGGGCTAGAAAAGACAAGTAGAAAAAAAGCTTACAGCAGTTGCTTTTGAGGGGTGGGTGACAAAAAAAGGCACAACAGAATTACATTCTAAGACAGGTGGCTGCAGAGCACAGACATGTTCTCTGATGAGGAACAGAGAAAGAGGAAGGGGCTGCTTCCCAGGATGCAACTAATCTGGAGCAAAATATCCCAAGTAGAAAGAGGGTGACAGGTAAAACAACATTCTAAACCAGAATGAATAGAAAACACAGCTGGTTTAAATGACACATTAAGGGTCTCTTAGCAAGACTGTCCCAGCCAGTGTTGCTCTAGAAGCCACAGGCTGGAGCCAGCGGGCAGAGTGTGGGGGACAGGCACCTGCCCTCACTTAGACCTCAGAATTGGCTACTATGGACACCAGGATTTTACTGAATTATTCACTTCCCCCTAAACCCATCCCAAGCCCCATCCAAGCAACCATCCATACTCTCTACCTAAAATCAAAAGGTGGAAATGAAGACTGCCTTCTGCACAACAACCCTGATGCTGACCTTCACAGAAACCCCTGTGGACACTTGAAAGCCCTGCTGTCAGACTGCAGTTCCTGGCTTCCTTGGTTGGTTCCTGGCTGACTCAACAGATTAAAACAGCAAGGCACCTCTGCAATGAGCCTGACCAAAAGCGGCAAAATGTGTCTGGCAGAGCTCCACTTAATTGACCATTATGTTCACGTGCCTCACGGTTCCTAAAGAATTATTCACTTTGGTCCTAGATAATTCAGTTTGGTGGAACTCAAATCCCCATTTCAACATTTTCTGTAGCCTAATTCTTATTCTAGACGTATCCCCACACAATTTCTGCCCCGCCCCAAACACCCTCACATAATGACTACCTTCTATGGCAGGTGTTTACAAATAAATTTATAACTTCAGAACCTTTTGTTCAACAGAAATCTCAGGAGGAAGCACAAATGTCAAACCCACTGTACGTCCCCTCCCCTTGCCCAGCCCATCCTCCCGATGGGCAGGGGACAGAGCAGAAACATCACTGTCCTACCCAGCTACAAGTGGAGCTTTGGCCAAAGGAGACCCGTAAGCTGACTCCAGACTGCCAGTGTATACAAGAATCCATGTGAGCGCTAAAGACAAGCTCCACACCACTCATGCTCCAGTGTACATGATCCTGAAAGTAAAGCTCATTAGCTCTGATTACAAAAGCATTCTTACTCAAACTCACTAGACTTTATAAAAATAATCTGTGGTACAAAAGAACCTCCGCACTGTGTAGAACTCTGTCAAGTGATATAACTAAATATATATATGTAGAGCTATAGACCTTTTAAAGTAAAACTTCAAGTGTAGTGACTCTGTTATATAACCTACTCTTTTATTTACAATGCTATCTAACAACACGATGCAAACACAATCGGGAGTAAGGGAATGGGCCCATATCCAACCAACAGTGGAAGTTCCAGGACTTGAGACAAAACTTGTTCATTCACAAAAACCCATCCTTGCTTGCCTAAAAAATCTAATGGGTCATATTCTTCGTAACTGTGATCTCAGAAACACAAACTCTCCGAATGAATGTAACTCTCTTCTGCAGGTGTCTAGCACAGCCCCCATCTGAATGATACACCATATATATCCATCTGGATGCTTAAGCCCTGGACAATCCCACAGACACTGGCCTGGAGAGCAAAAGGTCAATGCTGAGGCCATCGCTGCACACTGGCATTTAGAGAACATGCATTTTAATTCTTGAGGAAAAGCCACTTCTATCATCCCATGCACTGCCATGGGGGCAAATGAAGTACCACTGGTTTTGGCACTCAAGGGAAATACAGAGGACAACAATCACTTAGTCTTGTTTCATTCACACTTGGAAGATGCTGTCATGAAAATGTTAAAACAGTTGAAAAAAAAAAAGTAGTGATTCCAAATATCAATTCAAATTGTCATCCAAACAATAGTTTATACAGAGTCCTTATTCCAAAGGTATAAACAGGACACTCCAAATATTCCAGTAAATAAGTTTGACTTTGTTTTGTTTCGGTTTTGGGTTTTTGGTACAGGATCTCACTATGTAGCCCTGAATGATCTGGAGCTCTCTATGTAGACCAGGCTGGCCTCAAACTCACAGAGATCCACCTGCCTAGTGCTAGGATTAAAAGGTGTGACTAGACCTGGCCTAACTTATTTACTGATAGTTTATGGGCCTTTTGAACTCATTGTTTAAAAGATGTGATTAGAGCAAGTAATTGATTCCCAAGGGACTTTTAAATTTCAATTTCTTTTTCCTATAAAACTAAATTATCTCAAAACCCTTTCCTAAACCATCTAAAGGTTTGGAATACATTCATAAGTAAACTGCTGGCTACAGATCAACTACCAGGAATCTTACATAAAGAACTATGCCTGTAACCCTGAATGCATGAACAGTTTAACATCTAAACTAAGAACTCATCAAATGATTTACTGAGCCTACTTACCTAAAACGATGCTGAGAATTAAACTCCTCATTACTAGGCTGACCACATTAGCTGTTGAGTATTTTGTTACTTTAGCGACCAGCCAATGACCATGGAGAAGTCATGTGACCAAAGCTGAGCGAGAAAAAGGGATACCTTTTCCTTCCTGGTAACCTTTCCCTTCCTGCCTGCCCCCACCCCCACCACCCCCACCCCCAGTTGGTGGGCAGATGAGTGTGTGCACACAGAGCATTTGGGAAAGGTGTGCTCTCCTGCCCCTGAAACGTGAGCCAGGCTTGGCTGTCTCTCCAAAGGTATGTCATCAAAAGCCCCAAAAGATGAAACAACTCACACTGAAGATTAAGCTAAGTGAACAGAAACTACCCTCCAACTCAGCAATGTGTCTAATGAACCAAGTTCTGGAGAATAATGACTGAATGTTCAACTTCTAGTATAATACATTTACTGTATTATTTAGGAAAAACAGTAAATCTTTAAATTACCAATAAGTGCCAGGAATTTTACACACTAAAAGGGCAAAATTCTATTTGTGAGAAGCCATCCAGTCCTCCTCCAGCTCTGGATGGGAGTCACTTCCTTGCCTTAGAGGATCCAGCAGAGGGATTATCACATGACAGGCTCATGGAGAACATAAATACATAGCTAGGCTTCGCACAAAGACTCCTCCTCACAGCCCAAGCCTCAGGTCAGAGTAGCAAGACAGAGAAGGGAAGAGTGGAGGGAAGGCAACCGCAGAACTGCAGCACTACACTGCTTCCTGAGGCAGCAAGCCATGGCAGACTGTCCGTGGAGCAAGCCTGATAACCTAGAGATGAGAGAGAGCTTTCCTTTGTTGAGGATGTATAGGCAAGAGGTTCCGGCCTCCTGAAGATGTTCAGCTATAGGATATCCTTCTTATTCTCCACAAACATCCCCCCAAATGTGGACAGGAGGGAGTCAAAAGGACCTTGGCATGCTTGGGAAGCCCTCCACAGGCAGAAAGGCCATGCTAGACAACAAAGGCAAAGGTGCTTGCCACTATCCCTTGTACTGTTGTCCATGAAAATAGGGATTATCATGTCAGCCAAGATGCTCTTAACAACTGGGTTCACAGCCTTCCTGCCATCCCATCACAAGTGTCCTCTGCAGGACCCTGCACAGCGGCCCTGACTGTACTTCCTTTCTTCTTCTCTGGTTTATTCCCAGATTTCTCTAGCAACACATGACAGCCCAGTTATCACAGGTGTTTGCAACCAGAACGTTTTTTGCCAAGACCCATCACCACAACCAGGAGACTGTTTAGATCTCAACACACTATAAAAGGAGGAAGGATCTCTGGTTATTTCTCTCCCCTGACTTGATCCCTTCTCATCCTGGATGGGACAGCCCTTCCCACAAGCAAGGATTTCCTAAGTCTTTCAAAAACAAATCAGTTTTCAAAGCCCACGAGTGGATGTGGCATGAACTCTGTGAAAAAGTGCACAACAGAGGCCTCATGACCCAAAGGTCATGGTCACCCATGCAAATGAGGCTCTCAATGGCTCCCTGCTCACATGGCACAGGACAACAAACAGTTTTATCTGGGGGCACCAAGCCCACTCCGTTTCCCAGAACCACACCCTGGAAGATCACCTACCTTCTAGGCATCAGCAACCAGGTGTGTTACCTGGGAGGACACAGCAAGAACTAGCCCCAAGAACTAGCACAGACAACCCCCGTCCCCACCACCACCCCTACTCTCCCTTCTTTTGGCCAAACCAAACAGGTACCCCTCCTGATGCTTCATTCTGTCAGCAAGGTCCAACAGGGATGCCGTAGTGACTGGACACATGGTCAGCAAAGAGGAAGGAACCCCCCCCACGCCCCCACCCCCAGAGAAAAATAGCAAACCTGCCTGCCTGCTATGTGCCCTGACTAGGAGGTCCCACAGCTCAGCCAGGCCAGGACAATCAAGCTCCATGTGACAATCAAGTCAGCACACAAAACAAAAACCACCTGGAAGAAATCTAAAACCACACGGGGAAGCTGGAGTTTACTGTTTGGCACTGGGTACGACTGGTGACTGGATCATTCTTGCAGTGAATTCGCTACATTTCTTAGTGGTTGGTTTCTTATGAGGGTAAAAAGGAGATGCCCCCACTGCCTGAGGAGAAAGCTAAAGAAAGTAGATATGGCACTTTTCAATAAATATTTTAAAGCTTCTTAAAGAAATAAGTGGAAAAGAAAAGCAACTGCTGTAAGGCCTGTTTTGTCATCAAAAAGTATTCTGAAGGGAAAAAAATAGCACAGCACAAAATCAAATAGAGAAAAAGAAGAGACGACACAGCTTACCCAAACAAAAGCAAAGTACCTGTCCCCCTAACCACTTGGCTGGCCCACAGTGATCCATGGAAGCAAAAACCAAGCTGAGAGGGAAGCCAACTGGCCTTCCCAGCACCTGTGCACAAACACCCAGAGAAGAGGACAACCCAGATAGCAGGCCCCGGTGCCACACACATCACACCGAGGGGAACAGCAGCCCATGTGAGCCATGCCCTCCCTCATAGGCTGCAGTGCGGCCACCCAGACAGCACAGCGCAATCACAGGTGCTATTGGATCTATCTGCTGGCGGAATTAAATCTCAAGTAAAATTACCACTTGTGGGTCTAAGTAAGGGCCACAGTTCTACCAAGTCACAGTAGGGTTGTCATTCTAAATATTACCCAGTGGACTTACGGGAAACACCTGACCCTCCAAACAACCCAGGAGGAAGTGGCCTACCCTCAAGATCAAGAGATGCGCTGTTTTTAAATAAAACAGTCCAAAAAACCCAGAAGGAAAAGTCTTTACAAACAAGAGTGACGAATGCCCAGACTTGGCCCAAACAGCCAACCTACAGTTGATGGCAATTATTTACAAGGGGACTTTTCTCAAACAAAATGGTAGTACTGCCTAAAAGACACAAACTTTTTTTCCTTTTTCTCTATTTCTTTTAAACATCTGTGTCATAAAAGCCAACTTACATTAAAATATACTTCCTACAAGACAACACAACTAACAAAATATATAATAATAAAACGTACACAAGTAGAAAATTCTGAGGTATTTCTGGTTTGAGGTGGTCTGTGGTCGTGAAGTTTTAATTCTTTTACTTTTTAAAATTTAAACCTCGGAAGCCACACAGCAAAGCTTGTGTATATATGTGGATGTGTGTATGTTTTGTTTGGAAAAAAAAATTTAGCATGTTTCATAAATTTTAAAAAATGTAAATGTCGAAACAGCAGCATTAGGAGCATTCACTGACTAGAGCAAGGTTACGGCATCATAGAAAAGCAGTTTTTCAGAATATGCACCACTATAAAGGGTCTGGAGAAAGCCGTGCCCATGAGCCACAGAGAGGGGTCAGTAATGTTACTACCTGGGGCCAAGCCAGAGCTGCAGGGCTGGCAAAGTGACGACCCAGGACTCCTCTGGCCCCAGTTGTATAGGGGGCGCCTCAGGGCTTTTCCCCAAACTGCCTCAAGAGGAAACTAATTCAGTATTTCCTCCATTAAAGAGATCTACAGCATCATGTCTAATGAAGAATGTTCACTAAACTGTGATGATTTCTGCCCTCACCTGGTCCTAACAACACAGGGGCAGGATAAATGCCTCCTCCTATGATCGAGCTAAAGAAACTGGTCAGGACGGGCAGGTGGGTCAGCCTGACCCCCTGCTCTCAGACTTTCTCCAAACCCTGCACTTGCTGTGAATGCTCGGCCTCCACAAGGTACTTGCCCTCAATTCCTCGTTACCTGAGAAGTAGCCTCTATAACACAGATGTTGCTCTGAATGTGCCCGAGTCCAGTGTAGCTCTGCTCCAAACCCCACCCAGCACCATCCTCCCCTTAACGCCAGTCTAAACTGTCCTCATCCTCATCCCACCTTTTCCTCGGTCAGGTCAGGACAACACCCGTCAGATCCGTGAAAGACACATCTGCTGTTTCTTAAGCTCACTGCCTAAAAAGGGAGAAACACAAAACAAAAGGGCGAGGGGGGGAGGACGGAGGGGGGGGAACGGATGGGTCGACCCTCTTCTGAGGAGGTAAGTTCTTAAGTAACAGTCTTCAAAGGTTCCTCTAGTAGAGTTTGCAGCATTAAGTTTCCTAAGACAGGAGATGGGTTTCTTTGTGTCACAGATTCTGAGACGACAAACAGAGAACGTGGGAAAGATGACTCCCGAAGGACAAGAGGCGGCTGAGGCTCTTCAGCATGGCGCTGCTTCTGTGCTCACGGCTCAGCACCTCAACGCCTGCTGACATGTCCGCTGTTTGCGATACAGTAGAGCAATATGCTGGTAAAAACTGATCCAATCCAAAAAATAATATTAATAATAATAATTATAATAATTATAATAATAATAAAAAGTCAAGGTAAAATAGCAGCTGCATTTTATGTGTTTGTTGGTTTTATGGGATTTCCAAAACAAAACACAAATTTTTTCCTTTTTTTCTTCAGATCCACTGAGTCTGGAGAGACATTCCTGTCCTGGGCTTAGATGCTGGACTCTTTAGGAGGAAGGTCCACGTTAGTGACAGAGGTCACCAGGGAGACAAGACAGTCCGAGGTAGTGCCGTTGACCGACCTCCGGATCAGGGACACCCGCTCCTCCACACAGCCTGCAGAAAGGCGAGCCTCTGCATCATGGTCCCAGCACTCCTCAATGGTCACACAGAGCTGGGCCAGGCCCTGCACAGCAATGGGAGGAAGGGAAGACCCTTATTAGGGCTGCTCAGTGAGGACAGCCAACTTGATGCACCTGAGGATCAAGGCAGAGCCTGTGTCCCAATCATACCTTATTGCAGGTCAGTTAGCAGGCTACAAACTACAACTTCCAGGACTCCTGGCCTTCTATCAGTCACCCCACTGAGCCCACTGGTCTCTATCACAGCCCCAAGAAATGCTAACTGAACCTCAATACAGGAAGAGGGAACCCTACTCCCCTATAGTAGATGTAGCTGCTTTCCTTAGAGCAATGGCACTATGCAAAGTCCAAACACAAAGGCCCAAAGTGTAGCAGTTGAATCACAGCGGGGAAAAAAGAGGGCATCAGTCCCCCTTATTCCCCACAGTCTCTGTGATACCTCCCTAGGGTCCAGGGAACATGGCAGCCTTCCTCTACTTCTCATTCTTGAGCTCCTGCCACACATGGAAGGTCCCCTTTGACACACTCCCGCAGAGTCCCCTGTACCCAGGTCCCTCACCGGGTGCTTCAGCCAGTGATCCTTAATGATGGGCCTCATCTTCTTGTGTACAACCACCTCCTGCAGCTCTTCCAGTGAAGGGTGTTGGCCAATTTCCTCCTCAAAGGGCAGCATGTACTCATCGACAGGTCCTGGGAGGTGAGAGAGGCTGGTAGGATCACCCTGAGACGGCACCCCCAATCCTATCCCCAATAAAGGATGCTCAGGGCCACTAGCCCACTTACCGTCTGCAGCCTTGCAACGAGACACAAGCTCCCACAGCACCAGCCCCATAGCGTACATGTCAATGCGAAGGAAGGCATCTCTCTGGAAGTTGATGGCTCCCTCAAGTACCTCAGGGGCCATGTACCGTCTGGTGCCAACCTATGTGAAGACAAAGGAGGGCAGAGTCTCCAGACACCAGCCATGCTCAAATATACATTCACTTGGAAGAACCCCAGCCTACACGTACCAGACATGCGGCAGAACAGTGTAATTCAGAGCATGAAGCCTTTGAGGACAAGCCCTAACCCATCAAATTCACAGCAGAGTTAGGATCACACCCGATGATAATTTAAAAATACACACTGGTGATGGCACTGTTTAAATTGCTACCCAGTTCCTACAAAGCTATGCTGAAGATTCGTGTTCTACTGAGATTAATATCAAAAGCAAAGCTAGGCATGGTGGCACACATCTATAATCCTAGCACTCAGGAGGCTGAGGCAGCAGATCAAGAATTCCAGACCAGACTAAGCTACAGAGAGAGACACTGTCTCAAACAAACAAGGGAGGTTGGGGCAATGGCTCAGCTCATAAGGGGCTTGTCCCTCATATGTGAAGACTAGAGTTCAGATTCCCAGCACCCACATAAATGTAGGCAGCTGGGGTGGCCTGCCTGGAATCCCAGAGCATGGGAGGGAAGGAGAGAGACAGAGACAGGATCCCAAGAGCCAAGTCAGTAAGCTCTAGATTCAAGTGGAAGACTATGCCTCATGGTGGCGGGTGATCAAGGAAGACACCCAACATTAACTTCAGGCGCGCACACGCACATGCATGTGCGTACACACACACACACACACACACACACACACACACACGCTAAATAAATAAACAAGAAAGATAAAGCAAGGCCGCAAACACCTTTAATCCCAGCACGCGGGAGGCAGAGGCAGGTGGATCGGTCTAAAAAAGAAAAAAAAAAAAAAAAAAAACTACCATATATATAAAGCAAAAAAACTGCAACAGAAAAGGCCAAAACAGGGACTGGAGAGATGGCTCAGCAGTTAAGAGCACTGGCAGCTCTTGCAGAGGAACCAGGTTCAATTCCCAGCACCCACATGGCAGCTAACAACTGTCCAGAACTCCAGTTCCAGGGAATCCAATGCCTTCTTCTGACCCCCTCAGGCACTGCATGACACAAGTGCACTTACACACAGGCAGGCAATATACTCATACACATAAAAAAAAAAAAAAATTTAAAGGCCAAAACAAAGCAGCAAGAGAACACTTAAAAATACCCACAGTGACTCCTCCTGGATGATTTGCTAGGCTTAATTTTTCATTGCTTTTTCTAGGCATTTGGTTTGGATTCTTAGCACATTTCTCTCTATTTAATCTTGCTTAATAATTACAATTGAAAGAGAAACACTCAAAATACACATATACTCAGCCAAAGCCCAAATGGGGAAGCTCTGGATTTCTCAGCTGACTGCCTAGGGACGTTTCACCCGACTGATGAAACAAGAACCCTGTTCTCTAAGTACCCACTCCAGCTGAGCACTAGTATCCACCCTGTGCCAGTCCCCACTCCCACTGCCCAAGCTCCTTACCTGCCCATGGGTGTCCCCTGGAGGCTTCCCTGGCTCAAACCGAACGGCCAGGCCAAAGTCAGCCAGCACGGCCGTGAGGTCATTTTTCAGCAGTACATTCTTGCTTTTGAAGTCCCTGTGGAGACAGGAGGGTCCAGGTGAAGCAGTATATCAAGATCCAACCCACCCTGAGCTTGAACATCAGCAGACCCAACTCCCACCATGGTTCTCAGAGTACTAGAGTCTGTGCCTTGCAGCCCCCAGGTCAAACACCCAGCACTCTGGGGCAAGAGGTGGGGCAGCTTCAGGAGCCTACACCAGCACTGGAGGGCTTCTGCCAGGCTGCCAAAGCAATCCCCATTCTAGTGGCTGGACAGACCTCACACCATAGCACCAAAGGCCAGCCCATAAATTCTCAGAGGGATTGGGAACAGATAAAGTACCCTGGAATCTGAATCTTCTGAAAAAAATTTATGAAATATTTGAGAGATGTGAACAAGAACAATAATTTAAAATCAGCTTGCCTACGTAGAGGCAGGGTAGAACAGGGTGCTGGTGCCCTCAGCTCTACCCCTTACCAAGAGCTCCTTTGAGTCCTCAATTTCCCCAGTGCCTGTCTCAGCCTTGCTGTGAGGAGTGCACACAGATGCTTCAGGTCACCCCTGGCACAATTACAAGGCACTACTGTTAAGTGGAACCATATGCAACGATCAACCTTTGATCTATAAAAATGGCAAATTCACATGTCAACCTTCTATCAGGGGCCATTCAGCTTTGAAGCCTAGAATTCAGGGCTCACTCCCTTCCCTAACAATCAAAGAGCCATGCTCAAGAGCTGGCTAAGTCTTTCAGCCTCTGTACTAGGCTGCTTCACTTATAGATGGGGCTGATAAAGACAGCCCCACCTCATGAGCTGGAATCAGGTTCAGTGAGTTGGTGTTTCTTGGGCAGTCAGAGCAATACCTACCATCCATTTAATAACACACAACAGTGGCAAGTTAACAGAGTGATTTATTTTATTTTATGTGTATGAATGTATTGCCCGCATGTACGTGAGTGCACCTGTGTCGTGCAATGCCCCTGGAGGTCAGAAGAGGGCTTCGGATTCCCCTGGAACTGGAGTTAAGGACGGTTCGTAGCCACCACGTGGGTGCTGGGAATCGAACCTGGGTCCTCTGCAAGAGCAGTCAGTGCTCTTAACCGCTGAGCCATCTCTCCAACCCCAACAGAGTGACTCTTAAAGTGTGGTTCAGACCTGGGCATGACAGCTCATGCCTATAATCTCAGGGTTTGGAAAACTGAAACAAGAAGACTGGCATGAGTTCAAGGCTAGCCTGGGTTATATAATGAAACTCCAGCTTAAAAAAGTATGACTCAGAGGTCCTAAAAGGTCCCAAGACTGTTTCAAGAGCCCCATCATTTGCCTTTTTAAAGCCCATTCTCTAAGGAGTATAGAAGGGAGTTCTCCACGGGTTACAGGCCAGGTAATATCATCCTTAATATACATGACTATAAATGTGTGCTCTACACTGGCAAGTATCAGCATAAACTACAAAGGCAGAGAAGTAAAGTCCTTTTAAGAGCACAAAAGGGTCCTGGGGCTGAAGAGATGGCTAAGCAATTAAGAGCACTGGTTGTTCTTAGAGGACCTAGATTCGGTCCCAGCACCCACACGGCAGCTGACAATCATCTGTAACTTCAGTTCTAGGGGATTCAATGCCCTCTTCTGGCCTCTGTGGTACACTTATATGTGGTACACTTATATACATACAGATAAAACACTCAAACATAAAATAAAAATAAATTTTCAAAAGAATCCTGACCAAAGTCTGAGAACTCCAAAGTAATGGGAGTCAGCACTTCCCTGTGTGCCCAGTAGAGGGCACCAAATACTGGCCTGCAAGGCCACCGCCATCTCCAGGACACAAGCGAAGGGCAAGTTTTGTGCCCAGGTGCTAACACACCAGGCACATTCAGGAAGCTGGGACACCCCTCCAGACTGCTGTTTCACACACCACCCCCTCTCAGCAGCTCTTGGCCAAGTGCAGGGAAAACTTCTTAACCCAGATACCTGTGGGCAATAGACGGCTTGTGGCCCTCACCACGGCACCAGGGCACATCCTCATGCAGGTACGAGAGGCCTCGGGACATTGTCTCTGCCACGTGACACAGTTCATTCCACGTGATGATGTTCCCCTTGAGGTAATCCGTGAGGGAGCCCTAAGAGAAGGCAGCACAGAACATGGACACAGGCTCCAGGTACAGGACATGATGCAACCAAGCCCAGCCCTGGGAGGAAGGTCTCACTGTGGAAGTGACAAATTGTCAAATGTCTACTCTTGCCGTAAGGTCCCAGGGTGAGAAGTACATCTATGGCAGGGGTCACCTCATCACAGAACCACCACAGGGACCTATCCATGATCTTGGAGTCCTTCTGATGGGTATGGCTCACCTTGTCGTGGAAAGCTGTGATAAGCCACAGCTCCACCTCCAGGTTGGAGCCTCGCTTCTCGGCAGCAATGAACTGCAGTAGGTTCTCGTGCTTCATGCCAGGAGTGCTGAAGATCTCTCGTTCACTCTGCCACGACTGCTTATCCTGTAGCAAGGAGGCAGCTCAGCCCTGCTACAGCCCCACAGCAGGACAGCCACCCTCACCCTCCAATCCACTCCCTGGCCTCCTAGCTTCAGCATATGCAAGGGGCCCAGAGTCAAGCTAGGTCCTGGTGAACCAGGCAAACAGCATTCTTTCTCTGAGATAAGTTGAAGCCAGTGATGGATTTACAAATGGGATCACAAATGGGGAGTGAGGTGTCCATATCAGCCTGCAAGCACATGTTGCTAAGTGTCCTCACTGCTTAGGGCGGCCTGATGTCTGAGGTGTCTGAAGACTGAGGACCTCACGAAGTCTACGGCTAGGGAGATGGCTCAGTTGGTAAAGTACCTACCAATTAAGCATGAGGACCCAAGTTTAGATTCCCAGCACCCACACAGAAAGTCGAGTATGGTGGCATATGCCTGTAACCCTAGCTCTGGAAAGGAGGGTAGGGAGGGTCAGAGACAGGAGGACTGGAATTATAGTCTATACCAACTAGTCTATCCAATCAGTGAGCTCTAGGCTCAGGAGAACCCTGTCTCAAATAACTTTTTTAAAATAAAAAGGTGAAGAGAATGCCAAATGTGGGTGGTGGCATATATACCTTTAATCCCAGCACTTGGAGACAGGAACAGACAGATCTTTACTGAGTTTGAGGCCAGTCTAGTTGATATAGGGAGTTCCACACCAGCCAGGGTTATATAATGAGACCCTATCTCAAAACAAATCAACAAAACAAAACAAACAGGTAGAGAGCAACATCAGCCTCTGGCCTCCACACCCAGACATGTGCACAAACATGTACACACATAAACAAAAGAAAAAGAACAAAGCAGGGTGTGGTGGTGCACACCTTCAATGCCAGCACTGGGGAGGCAGAGGCAGGTGGATCTCTGTGAGTTAAAGACCAGCCGGGTGTACATAGTGAGTTCCAGGCCAGCTGTGGCTACAGGGAGGCCCTGTATCAAAAAGACCAAAAAAAAAAAAAAAAAAAAAATCTGAAAAGCAGAGCGAATCAAGGCTTGACAGAGCCTTACCCTAATCCTCTGATAGACTCACCCTGCTGCATGTGTGATGGCCTTTCTCTCACCATACCATGGATGGAGGGGCTTGGACTACTCTATAGTGAGAGAAGATGGCCTAAAGAATCCCCAAAGCTCACCTGCAGTGGAAAGATCTTCACAGCCACAAAGTCATTCATGAGCTGGGCCTTCCACACACAGCCAAAGCGCCCCCGAGCCTTGATTTCCAGCAACTGCAGTGGCTTCAGGCCCACCAGAGGGGAGGGGGGTGAAGGCCCGGGGTCCTGGAAGACCAAGGACTTAAAGGAGTCTGCCCAGCCATCCCTCCTCCCCTGCCCTGACCCATGCCAGTACTGTCTCACCTCATGGATGTCTACATGGCCATAGGGGGGCTTGCGATGTCGATACATCCAGAAGGCTAGCAGGACGATGAGGGAAAGACCCCCAATGGGCAGCAGCGAGTAGGCCAGCACCGTGAGCAGGGTAGGGGCTGTCGGGGGTGGCTCGTAGGAGACTGGGGAAACACGAAGCCCTGTGTCACACAGCCCGCCCACTACATTCCAGCAGGCCCTGCAGTCACTCCCCACTGGCTCCAGAGCTGAGCACGCTAGGCCTTGGAAGCACAGGTGTTCTGCGGCTGGAGCCCTCCTCCCACTGGTCACTTACCTTCTGGGCCCCCAGGCTCTGGCAAGTGGGTGAAGCGCTCGTTGCAGAAGTTGCCTTCACAGCAGCAGAAGTACACCTGGGGGTTCTCTTCAGTGGCCACACACTCCTGCCTGAAGACAGAGTCCCTGTTACAAACTCCCTAGCAGGGAATGCAAGGTTCTCCCTGGCCTATCCACCAAAGGCCCTCCCCACAGAGCATCTCTGAGGAACATCACCAGGACAGGGTGAGCCCATTTCCCCTGAAGAACAAGCCACAGCTGGGAGGGACGGTGAGGTAGCTGTCTCCTTAACTGAGGCAGGGCACAGCTACCGAGAGGCCTGGGACCATAGGTTCCACCTCAGAAGGCCCTTTTCCAGTTCAAACAGCCTTAAATCAGTGGATGGCACAAGCGCGAGTGGGACAGTGTCAGGACAGTGTCAGGACAGCAGTACCTGTCGTAGCAGTTGAAGTCGTCCAGCCAGCAGCCCTTCTTGACCAGCTCGATGGTACCTGAGCTGTTGCGCCAGGAGGCGTAGCAGTGCAGCCGCTTGTCCTGCTCACCCTCACAGCGCTCCAGGCCACTCTGGTTGGTGCGCTCCAGCTCCCAATTGGCGTTGTAATAGATGCACTCCCGAGTCTCAGCCTCCCCACGTCCAGAACCTGTGTCCCAAAGCGGAGAGATGTGGAGCATGCCCCAGGGTCTGCTGCCCAAACCCTGCAGCCAGTCCTGGGAACCAGGCCACACTAAAGGAGCCTGGCAGAAGGGCCACCAACTCCTCTGCATCTGACACTGGACTCCTCACTACCCACACATTCAGCACCTCTTAGCTTACTGTGCAGCCTGCCAGACTGCAGGCAGATGCAAATAGAGAGTACTCATGCAGTCTGCAGTGGCAGCCACAATTACTGAAGGAGGCTCAGAAGCATATATACTCTAGTCAATGTAACTTAAGTCCAGGGCAGGGAAGATACTTTTTTAAAAAGTACAAACTCCCAGGCCAACCAAACCTATCCAGTGTGAATGAGGGCGTCACCTGACTGTCTTGAGAGATTCTAATACACACCTCCAAGTATCTCCTGGAGGTACTACAAAGAAGAATGCTCCTGTCTCAGCCTGTCCCCAGCTTGCCACGGCTCCCCAGGAAGATCAAGCCACTATGTCCCCCAAAACCCCCTTCCCACACTGCACAGGAAGTAGGGATGCTCCAGTGTTTTCTTTCCTGGTTCTCACCTGGTACTGCAGAACATCTATGCTTATCCAGAAAAAGTTAGGCTCCTAGGGTCACCAAGGGGGATTTTGACAGTGGAGTTAATTTGCAATGGCAGATCACCCTTCCAGCCAGGCTTGGAAGGACACTTACAGGCATACCCATCTGCTCCTAAATACCATTCTACCCCCGACAGAGGTGTGGCCACAGTCCCAGGCCAGACTGACCCCATTGCCCTAGGATAAGAAAAAGTATGCATGGGCCAAAGGTGGCCCTGTCTTAGAATATGCTGCCATGGCCTCTTCAAGAAAGAAGGATCCTGCCGGGCATGGTGGTTCATGCCTTTAATCCCAGCAGCAGGCAGATCTCTGTGAGTTCAAGGCCAGCCTGATCTACATAGTGAGTTCCAGGCCAGCTGGGGACCCAGGGAGCCCCTGTCTCAAAAAGATGAAAGGGAGGGAGGGAGGGAGAAGGAAAAGGGAACAAGAAAGGGAAGAAGGGGAAGGGGGGGGAGGTCATGAGGTGGGGAGGGAGGGAGGAAGGGAGGGGGAAGGAAGGGAAGGAAGGAAGGAAGAAAGAAAGAAAGAAAGAAAGAAAGAAAAGAAAGAAAAAGAAAGGGAAAAAAGATCAATCGATCCTGACTGGTTGTCCAGGGATAGGAACCCTCACCACAAGAGTGGTCATTCTCTGGTCAGACCCACCCTTGCAACATCTCCCCACCATGACAGGAGGCTCCTTCCAGGGTGACCTAGCCAGGGGCAAGCAGCCTATATCAAGAATACAGGTAGGACCCATAGATTCAAAATGTTACCCAATCAGAATGGCAGAATTTAGTCTCAGGTCTGGCCATCCATGTGGCCTAGACCCTGACACTTGTGGTGTCAATCAGCCAACCAGCCAGACCTCAGCCTGGCCCAGCAGAAGGACATGAGGGTCCATCAAGAGGACCACACAGAGGTATGCACTGGCTTTAGTCAAACAGAGCTTGAAGTTTCGGGGGAGACTCTGAGGGGACAGAGTGTAGGCCCAGACCAATGCCTGAGCAAGTGCCAGGAGCCAGGGTGGTACTTATGGTGCCCACAAGGCTCCTGGCTACTTATTGCAATATCTGGTAGCTGAGCTAAGTGAAGCACCCAGTTCAGAGGGTACAAGGCTGCCTCTCCCCACCTTGAAGCCCCACTGCATCACAGCAAACATTATCAGAGAGAACTGAGCCTTCCAAACAGGTTCCCTCAAACTCGGACACAGACAGGGGAGCTGGGTACCATCACCTCCTTCCTTCCCTGTAGCCATACCACACTGCCAGGGCCTTCACTGTGTTTAACTTCTAGTCTAGCACCAGTTACCACCTCTGGCTGCAGGACACTTCCTGCTTTCTTCCAAGATTTCTGCTCTGCCCTCTCTCCATAAACCAGGCAAACTCTCTACTTCCACTGACCCCACTGATATCTCTGTGACCTGACATGCCACCCTTGGCTAATCACCTGCTATTGTCTAAAGGAATATTTGAGATATCCAAAAAGCATGTAACAATCCCCAGGAGGAAGTACCATATTGACATAATGAAAAGTTATATGAGAAATAAAAGATTACAGAAGTGCTCAGCCATTGCTTTCTAAGTGCCCAGCTCACCCACTAGACTGGAAGGGCTGACAAATGCAGGACTGTTGAATGCCAGAACCAGTCCACACATAACAGATGGGGCAGACACACGATGGGCAAAGGGGGGTAGGTATAATGATTAGAGCAAGACTTTGAAAGAAAGGGACAAGAGGGACGGACGCAGCCTAAAGCCTGCTCCGCAAGGCTGAGCCTAGAACCCAGAGCTTCACACAGGCTCAGCTCTACCACTGAGCTACACCCACAGCTTAGAAGAGCTTCCATCTTCATTTAGACAACATTTAAAACCAGCCCACTGTATAGGGTTAAGAGTCCCAACAAGGGGGGAGCAACAAACAGAGTGGGTCTGAGGCTGGCATAGCTCCACTCTCCTGCCACTATGGCAGGAACCCAGTCACTAACCTGGGTGTGACCTCAGTGAAGGGGCCTGAGAACTCCACATCTCAAGGCTCTAGGTAGGACCCAAAGGCTCAGGATGACACTGGACCAACTGACCAGACCTGCCTACAGGCAACCCTGCAGAGCAGCCCTGAGCCGGCCACTCCAAATGCTGATCGGACACTTCACGGCTGTGTGCCTGGGCAAGTCGTGAACTAAAGGGGTGATTGACAGTATCTGTCTCCTAAGGTTGTGGCCATCCTCACAGTCCAGGCTTCTGTATGGCCCCAGCCCAACAAGTCACACCATGCCTGAGAGCTTTGCATTCAGAGCCCATATGACATTCCACACCCCTCCCACACCATACCTGGGAGCTGCTGCCAGCTGGAGACCCAGGGGCCTCCCGGCTTCCTTTTCTCTCTGGCTCTTCACATACTCACACTGGCTATTTATAGCCTCTGGCAAAACTCCAACCACAAGGCCACCTAGCCTTTTAATAGATGAAGGCCTCCCGCCCACACCCCTGGAGCCAGAGCACTCCAGGTCAGGAGTCTCCCCAAGCCCTGCCTGCTCACCCCATCACAAGAGGAAGCCACACTCCTACAGTGAGATGCTTCTATAGTGGGGTGCTTGGGGTGCCCTGCTCACCCCTGCTGACTCATAGTGCTGAGAAGAGCATCCCAAGACACAGGATCAGGGACTTGCTACATCCTGGAGTCACAGCCAACTCAGTAGCAGGCCTCCAAAGGAACTAGGTATATCAGTAGAGGTATCACCTGAGAGGCAGTTCCTACATTCAAGAGGCCTAAAGCCCCTTGTGAGAAGCCTCTAGGCTCCCAAAGCCTCCAGGCAGGGCAGACAATATCTCACTATCAACAAACACACATGCGTGTGAATACATACACACATGCACACACACATAAACACACATACACACAGGTAGAGGCAGGTTCCACTTTGAACTGACATTTCATTGACCTGAAAGTACCCATTTCCATGCTCAAGGGCAGGCACTGGGAGTTGGCTTGCCTTCTGAAGCAGCCCAGTCCAGCCAGTGTTAGACATCCCCCTATGCACATCCCACTATTCACAGATGAAGAAAGGGGGAAATTTCACTATGAGGGGCTCACAGTGCAATGAGAAGGAATGATGGAAGATGAAGAAGAGATGGGTCAGAAGTGGAATGAGTATGTCTGTCAGCTAACATCTCCCAGAGGAACTCTGGACCCCAGCAATCAGTAGGATTAGGATTAGGGTTAGGGTTAGGGTTAGGGACCAATGTACTCCTGGCTCCTCAAGGCCCGTTGGTGCCTACCCACCCACAAGAGCAGGCATCTAACCCCACCCATGAGGTCACTGTAGATGGTGAAAAAGTACCCCTCACTTCAGGTCCACTCATTCCTGCAGAAGACACACCCTTCTAGAAGCCACCATGCACAAAGCCACATAAAGCTAACGTGGGTGGTCAGTGCCTTCAGGGCTACTCAGAGGAGCAGCAGTCTCTCCCAGTCTGTACCCCTTGCAGGGGGCCCTGAGTTTTCTGGGCACCTACTGCCCCAAAAATGCTCTAGAAGAGCCAGGGAGGCCAAGAGACCGGGGGTGGGGTGGGGGGGGGGGGCTTATGACCGCACACAGCTCCATGACAACCAATTCTCAGGACTAAAGCCAGAGCAGCCAGGGGATAAGAACTAAGGAAGAGAGAGAGGAGATGGGGGAGGCTGGAGCATATCTCTCTCTCTCTCTCTCTCTCTCTCTCTCTCTCTCTCTCTCTCTCACACACACACACACACACACACACACACAAAGAAACACATACATGCATGCATACAATGGCAGACGCTAGGAAGGAAAAAGCTCAACATGTAGCTACAGTTTGTCTTAGAATCCTTCCCTCTAGAGAAACACACACACAATTGGGTAAATTTTGCTTTTTCTCCCTCACCCATGTATTTATAAGCCATGCAGACTGACACTTTGATAGCCCATGTCATATCCAAGCACTATACAAAGCATATCTCAAATAACATTTGATCCTCAGAGAACCCTGAGCAGACCATTTCACAGATGAGAAAACAGAAGCATAGAGGTTGAGGAACTCATACAAGCTGAGCACCAGGTGACCTGTCTCTAGAGAGCAGGTTCCTCACAGGCTTGTTCCTGCAGTAGCTCTGCAATGTTTATGCTTCAGAACCATCGAATGCCCAGTGTAGCTTTACTCCCCCTTAACTTCATCCCTTCTCCTGCTGGACTCGGGTTATGTACACCTGCTGATGTAAGCAAAGCCATCCATCAGAAACATTCACAAGTTTTCTTGGGCTACCAGGTGTCATTTTCCCCAGGCTGAAAATGCTGGGTCCGAGCACCTTCAACTCACTAAATACTGCCAAATTCTTCTCGAAAATGGGCAAAGTAGTTTATGTTCCCAGCAGTCCCACTGAGTCACAACCTGATCCA